TCATGGTGAAATAAATCCCTTAAGGATCTAGTCTTTAGCTTTCCCATGCTAAGAAATTAAAGAAGATATTCCCATAATGCTTTCGTTTTTAACTTGGATTTTTAAGGAATTTTTTGATACATTACAACAAATGTATATCACAAATAATTTCATGCTTCCAGCTAGTATCTTCTAGTTTTTTAACGCATATGAAATGATTTTGCTGTTTTTACAGACCTTTTATGTGATGGCTTTTTCAGTCTCTAATTTACCATAACACATTATTCTAAGTTTCAAAATTGGTTACTGAGAGAGGATCTAATTGTCAGTTTCCACATAAGATATTTTCATTGAATCTTTGCATTTTAGGATTTACAGATGTCCACTCATTTAGGTGGAATGGAATACTGACCATTTTATGCATGTAACTAAGACTAGGATTTATTCTGTCACTCAACAGGCTTTCCCTGAATGCCTGCTGTGTGACAGACCCAGTGCTAGGCACTGGGAGTGGGGCACATGGGAACTAGGGAGTGTCGTGTGAAAGGACACCAAGAGAAGCGTATATTATAGAGTGTGGAGTATTAGAACAGAGAAGAACTTGTGGACTGTCTGTGTGCATTCTGAGAATGAGAAGGGCTAAACATTTACATTGGAAGATCAGAACTCAGAACATGCAAATTTGAGTATTTTTCAAGTTAGTGGATTTTCAATAAAAAATTATTAAAACAGGTTTATGTTTGCTTAAAAAATGCTTATTCTTTTTTCAAAGGTAGAAAAACAAGTGATTAAAAATGAAAAAGAACTTTTGATAGTAACTGTTTCAGTTTTAAACTCAGGACAGTCATATTTCTCACCAGTCATTCTTGAAAAACAGAATTTTAATACTATGCATAAAAAAGAGAAATGACTCTAGTTTTGCATACTCTCTTGTGTCTATTTCGTAAGTGGATATAAAGATGACTTTTACATCCTGTTGCCTTTTGACAAGCATTATATATCAAATACAGAGAAAATTAAGTGTGGAGAAAAAATAATATAAATTAAATTCAGAACCATTTTCTGTTTTTCATAATAAAATGATTGCTCAAAGAATTCCATCTGATGACTGTTGAAAGCTCACTGCAGTTTATGATATAACTGATAAAATCTGCATCCTTGGCCTTCCAACAACCTTTACACCAGCAGATGGTGGGCGTAAAGATGTCATTCATCATTTATTTACAATGGGCTTTATTTATTCTAGTGTCAACAGCTGCCCCAGGGAGTGGGTTATTGAATTCAAATGTGAGGCTCTGGGTTATTTGCTTCCTTTCAAATTTGTCTTCAGAGCTTAGTTGCTAGGAGTCCATTCTGTCCTCTAATAATGATTCATGTATTGTGAAGCCATTCAGTAAATTGGGTTGTCAGGGATTGCCAAAAAGGGTTTAGAGGTCTTGGGGCAGGGGGTGGTTTGCAGGAACGACTGCATGTGTGTCTGCTTGACTTGAGCTGCAGTGGTATTATGGTATTTTTCCTGAGACCAGTGAAGTCAAGTTTTCTTCTCACTTTGTATGCACTCCTTCCCTACCTGCCCATATTTTCTATCTGAATAATACATTAAAATGTAGAGGTCATTGTGTTAAAGGAAACTCTCAACCTTTTCTTTCTTCACAGGCTGGGCAAGAGTCCTTTCGTTCTATCACAAGGTCATATTACAGGGGTGCAGCAGGAGCTTTACTAGTATATGATATTACAAGGTGAGAACTTGAAAATTTTTCAGTTTGGTAGTTAATACAGAGAACTTTTCTAAATAAATATGGTTACACTAAAAGAATAACTTTGCCTTTATGCCCTGGCTACCCGCCTTAAAACTGTGTCTTTGAATCAAATTTAAATCTACTACAAAAACTGAATTATTTTTCTTATTTGAATTAGTACCCCCAAATTTATCCATTTGGCATGTTGTTTATTAATTGTAATTTTCTAAAGTGTGGTTATAATTTAATTTATAAATTGAAGTGTAATCTGTAAACTCTGAACCCAGATACTGTACTTGAAGTCTGTTTCTCATTACATAAATAGATATGGCTAAAAATGGTTATCTTTAATGGTATGTTATTGCTTATTGTATACTACTAAAGAAATTCTTTGAAAATAGTAATCAAATTATTATTTATGCTTAGGAGAGATACGTTCAACCACTTGACAACCTGGTTAGAAGATGCCCGCCAACATTCTAATTCCAACATGGTCATTATGCTTATTGGAAATAAAAGGTAAAAAGACTCATTTAAAGCTGATGTTTCATTAATGATGGACTGTGGGTCAATTACTGTTTATATGACTACTTTCTTGACATTTGTCCAAATGTAAGTTACTGGTCTCTTAAATTGTAGAATTTTGAAAAGGCCAAGTGTTTTTTTTTTTTTTTTAATTTTTAAAATACAGATAATAAGCTTTTCTGGAGATTAGTATTTGAAATACTTTTTGTTTGGAGACAATACTTTTAAAAATATCTGAAGGAGTTTTATAAAGTTACTAATTTAAATTAAACCCACTGATTTATTTGAGGGGATGAGTTGAACATCCTTGTGCTCCGAGTTTAAAACTAATAGTACAAGGGAAAACATAGTTGCCTGTCCAGAGTTTCCTTAAACTTCTGGGAGTGTCGGAAAGTTTTCACTAATCTTGGTAGAAAATTACAGTGAGCTGGGCTCGGTGGCTCAGCCTGTAATCCCGCGCCTTTGGGAGGCGAGGTGAGTGGATTGCCTGAGCCCGCGGGTTCGAGACCCGCCTGGGCAACTTAGTGAGACCTCATCTCTACAATAAATCAAAAATTAGCCGGGCATAGTAGTAATGTGTTTTGAAAGGTAAAATCCTGTTATGATAATGAGCACATGTCAAAGCTTCTATTAATGAAGAAACTGGTAAGCCATTACACCCAGTTCAAAAGATAACTCATTTATTTCCTCGGACAGGAATTATTTGCATTATTATCTTTTTCTACAAGTTTATTTCTGCAGTCTTTGAAAATGCATGAGATACAGTTAAGATAGTGCTTAGAGGAAAATTATAACCCTAAACACTTATATTAGGAAAAGTCTCAAATCAACTACCTAATTTTCTGCCTTAAGAAACTAGAATGATAAGAGCAAATTAAACAGAGTAATCAAAAAGATGACAAAGAGAAAACTAATTAAACCAAAACCTACTTCTTTTTTTTTTTTTGAGTTGGAGTCTCACTCTGTCACCCAGACTGGAGTGCAGTAGACGCTCCTGGCCACTGCAGCCTCGACCTGCTGGGCTCTGGCAATCCTTCTGCCTCAGCCTTCCAAGTAACTGGAACTACAGGTGCGCACTGCCACACCCGGCTAGTTTTTTGATTTTATTGTAGAGATGAGGTCTCGCCAAGTTGCCCAGGCAGGTCTCAAACCCTGGGCTCAGGCAGTCCACTCACCTCAGCCTCCCAAAGCGAGGGATTACAGGCTGAGCCACCAAGTCCAGCTGAAAACCTACTTCTTAAGAAGGTAAAATGAGCTGGGCTCGGTGGCTCAGCCTGTAATCCTGCGCCTTTGGGAGGCTGAGG